GCACCGGCCTGCGCCTGGCGCTGCTGCGGCCGCACGGAGGCGGCGGCGGCGATGCGCGGGAGCCGGGTGCCAGCGCCGAGGCCGTGCACCACGACAGGAGGCAGAAAGCGCGCGAGTTCAGCCAGAAGGTAAGGCCGGCACTGCCGGGCGCGACGGGGCCGCAGCACCTGCAGCCGCCCTGCGCGGAGCGGAGCAGGGACATTCCCCTCGGGCGTTTCAAGCCGCTGCAGTTCTCCCTCGGGCATTGCAAACCGCTGCAACTTCACCCGTGCAAGCACAGCGGCAGCCAGATGTTCAGCAGGCACAAACCACGCGGGCTGCGGTGCAGCAGCGAGCGTTGCCTTGCTCCCCATGCCCGTGCGCTGGTGCAGGAACACCGCAGGACCAATGCATGTGTACGGGACCGAGGGACCTGCTCCTGGTTCGGTCAGAGCACTGCGGGGTGCAGGGTCAGGGCTGCAGCGTCTCACAAGGAGCCCAATATCACCCATATTTCAGTAATGGTGAGGGGAATAAATCAGTGCTGCAAAGAGCCTTGAGAGTCCCTGGGTGACGATCCCAAGCACTTACTACTTTTTGCACGGTTCAAACATAACACTAGTCAAATGGAAAGCCGCAGGGACAAATCTCCTACTCAGGAGTAGCTGATACTCATTTAAAGTTTTAGCATCTCTTTCTGTAGACATTTTAGGTCTTATTTAGTTGCAAAGGGAAAAAAATATCAGTGTGATTACATCTTCATTGTGCTCTTGAAGGCTGCCTAGTGGGTAGTTTACCAAACACATTCCCTCTTGCTAATTATAAATTTGATCATGGTTGTTTTTTAATCTTTCTAATTTCCATTTCAAAGTCGCCTTTTAGATTACTGTTATGAAAATAACAAGGCTTGTGGTTTTTTTGATCCTGAGCTAATAAAAGAACATGACATTCATAAAGAGATTCATGGGTATCAGCCGCATCTCCTCAGTCAGCCTTTAAATTAAAGATTCACAAATATGCATTGAGATTGGGATTCATAAGGCAGAGCGCTGCCCGTGCAACAGATACGCGCTGACTACAGGAGATGAACAACTGCTGGCAAGGTCGCTGCTCAGCGGCCCGGCCTCGCCAATCACCTTAAACCATATCAGCCTTTCCTGGCCGTCAGGGGAGGGCACTCGTAGGCATGCAAGCACACTGATAATTTTGCAGCCCTTTTCCATGCGATTTGCAGCAGGATTGCAGGGCCCCTGCTCTGTGCCCCGCCAGCAGCTTGCAGGCTGCCGGGGCTCTCCAGAGGGAGGCAATAACTCGCACGGTTTAAGCAGCTTCATTTTCCTACGATGCAGGAGCCTGGCGCCCTGTTGCAGCTGCGAGCTCCGTGCTCGCTCTGCTGCCGGGGAGCGCGAGGCAGGAGGGCCGGGAAGCGGCTCCGCGGCCGGCGCTCCCGGCCCGGCCGCAGGCTGGGTGGTCGGGGGCTGCAGCGGCTCCCAGTTCTCGTGGTGTTTGCGAGCTGCAGATACGGAGCCTTTTCCCAGCCTCGTTCATTCGGCAGAGCCCCTGTTGCGACAGGGCTCACAGAGCCCCGGCACAATCAGCAGCGCGGATACAGCAGCAGGGCCGGGATTCGAGCGGTGCAGGTTGAGCATCGCGGCAGCGCAGGGGCAGTACCGGGAAGCAGTAAAGATGCTCCCCGTTTCTGCTCCAGACTGGCATCTCTCCGTGCCCCAGCACACTCGGGATGGCGCCGAGGAGCTGAGCTCACACGGCAGCAGCGACGGCTCCGGAGGGCCGGGGATTTGGTGCACAAAAACCAAACCATCCATCGAGTTCTTTGTCAGGGGGTGCTGGTCCTCTGGACTGAAAAGCACCCAGTCTGTCCACGGGGACCTGCTGCCTCTAACAGCCCACATTCAGCAACCTTGAAAGGTCCATGGAATCCCAGCAGTGCTCACGTGGTGGCTCTCGCAAGTCGACGAGTACCTGGTGGCTTGAGATGTAGGTTAAAGTGCCTCTGATAATGCTCCTCGGAGGGCTTCAAAGTGGAGCAAGCGCCAGGAGGCGGCCGCTCCTTCCCTTTCTTATGTAAAGGGTCCCCCTCACAGCATAGCACACACGGTCAGGCTGCTGAGCTGCCTTCCAGCTCCTGCTCTGCCTTGGTGGCGAGCTGGAAACGCAGGGCCAGCGACGTGCCCTGGGAGAGGGCGAGCGACGGCTCTGCCCGCTCCAAGCTGCACTCGCAGGGGAGGGAAACAGTCAAACAGCACCAGGCTGTCCCCTCCCAGGAAAAGCCTGCACCGCTGCGGGCTCTGCAGCCTGGAGCTTTCTGCAGCACCCTTTGCCTTGGGTGCTGGGTGAGGACCAAGCAGCCTTGATGCAGCACCACCAAGCATGTCCTGCACCCAGCTGAGCTGCAGGAAGAGCCACCACCTCCCACCAGAGCCACAGGAAGAGGCTGATGAAGAGCGGCCCATGGGCTTGCTGCAAGATAATTGGTTAGATGCTAATTAGCTAATTAGGCTGCCCATTGTTGCTGTCGCAGGTGGAGTGGACATGGCAATGGCTAACAACTAATGAGCTGTCAGTGCTCACACACGGTCCCCCTGCCTGCTTCCCTGCAGCCTCCCAAGAGTTAACAGCAAGGAAGGGTCACCTGGCGGGATCACTGTGTCATGGAGACTTAGATAGCCCAAAACCACGTTGCAGTGTCCTCTGCCGGGCAGATTCCCAATGATCCCAAGCGCAGCAGTGCCCAGGGCCCCTTTGAGCCTGTGCAGGGGCCCAGCTGTGGGACAGCAGAGCCGCGGGCTTCACTGGCACCGATGCCTCAGTGTGGTGTCCATAACGAGCGGAACAGCGACGGCTGGAGCGTGCACGCGGCGCCGGTAGTGCCCGCCATCGGTCGGTGACAGTTTCCCTTTCCTCACCCCTTGATTCTCTTTGGTTGACTGGGTGCTAAAAGTAGACAGGATGTGTTTTCTGTACGGTCTGTGCCTCTGCACGTGTGTTTGTTCTTTCCTGCTGCTTAGTGTCTGTCTCCTGTTCTTGTTCCTGCCCTTCTGCAGGTGGATGAGATCCTTGGAGACCAGCCAGAGGTAAAGGAGAAGGTTTTCACCGTCCTGAAGCAGTATGCAGCAGAGAGGAAGGTAGAATACTTGGCTTATGCCCTCTGCATGGTTCTCACCCAAGAGTCCCACCAGCTTCTTATTGACAATATCAGGTACAGCGCGTCGGTCGCCTTCCTGTTGCTGTGCTGGTAGTGAGATGTGGGCTGCCGGTGCCGAGCGCGCTGGGCGCCTCGGCCTTTGCGTGTAGAGCTCCCTGCCAAGCGCCCTCGCTCGCTCTGGGAGCAGCTTCCCTTAGGAATCCTGCGGGTGTGGAGCGGCAGCTCCGCGTCCCGGGCAAGAACGGCCTCGCTAGATGTCCTTGGGTAGACCTTGTCCTGCCCAGACAGGGCAGAGCTTCCCCTTCCTTGGGGAGCAGCCCGACCCGGAGCAGGAGGGAGCATCAGCTCCGGCTGCTCCTGCAGCCACCGGGGCTGCTCTGCCCTGTCCCTGCTCTGCCCTGCTCCTGCTCCTCGGGCCCTCGGTGCGGTGCCGTGCAGTGCCCGCGGGTGCCGTGTGGTGTGCACGGGTGCCATGCCCCTGGCACACAGAGCACCGTGTCTGGTGTGGGACGTGACAGCGGGAATGCGTGTGGCGTGGACACAGCACACGCGGACACGCAGGGTCACCCGCTGTCCCCATCCCGCGGTAACCTGCGGGAAATTAAATGAGCTGCAGGGTGGCTGGCGATCATTCAGGAACCGGGCCACAGAATAGATGTGCGTGTCAGCCCGCATCCCTGCGGGCCTCGTGCGTACCCGCTGCAGCGCCGAGGCGCCAGCGCTGCCCACGGGCTGTCGGGATGGGGCTGCGGGGAGCCGGTCCCGGTGCTCCCGGCCCCGCGGGGCCAGTTCCCTCCCTCGGGCCGCCGTCTGCGTGCGGGGAGCTGGGCAGAGCAGGCGCCTGCTGAGAAACCCCGGCTGAACCCGGCACGTTCCTCTAATCCCCCTCCTTCCCAGCGCTGGAGCAATATCCTGACCGATCCGCGAGCTGCCCTTGCCAGGGCCGGAGGGGCAGGGAGGTCCGTGCCGTGGCGCCCGGTGCGGAACGGCGGGAGCTGGCGGGACGCGGGCTGGCCGGTTCCTGGACACCACGAGTGACAGCCTGGAGCTCAGCGTGGGATAATTCATCCCGAGTCCTGGCAGGGCCAACGGCTCCTTCTGGACTTCTAGTAACCCAGCGTGCCCGCTTAAGGTTATCCTGAGCTACCCACTGGAGGCGGCAGGGAGGTTTCCCCCGAGGGCAGGGAGGCCCGTCCTGCCGCCTCGGGGGTGCTGCGCTCTGGAGCCCGCTGCAGATGTCGGTCCCCGGGGACCGCAGCGCTGCGGCCACGTCGGCGGCAGACACCCCAGCGGTGCGGCCGGTGCTTGCCCGGATCCGGCTCCCTGGCGGTGATCCGTAGCCTCGTCTGCCTGGCACTGCCACCCTTGCTGGGTGGCACAAGGACATCGAGGACGGGGCCCGGGCGCCGGTGCTGGCGCGGGTCCAGGCTCCCCTCGTGCCGTAGGTCTGCGCAGGGGCTCCCGCTCGGAGCCCGGGGCACGTGACAGGATTACGGTCAGCGGAGACGACGGCTGTGCCGGAGTCAGGGCTCCATCTGGCCCCGCTCCGTGCCTGGCTCTCCCGTTGCCCCTTTAACGAGGGAATTGCGGGATATTGCAGTTGCATTAAGAGCACACTCCGCGGGGTCCCGGGGAGGACGTGGGGAGCGGGTGGCCCAGGTGGCCCTGGCCACAGTGCGCAGCGCCCTGGCTGCAGTGACCGTGTGGGGTCCACCGGAACCGGAGCAAAGCCCAAGCAGGAGCTGGCCCTGGAGAAATCCACATCCCTATCCCTGTGAAACAATACGGGATATTGTTTTCCATGGATGGGGTGTCAATAAGCTCCCAAATCTCCGTGCACTTATTCCACCCGGACCTGACAGCGCTTGCGGAGGCCGGCGGTGTTTCCTGTGGAGAGCCCGGGAGCGGCGAGCGGGACGGGGCTGCGGCCGAGCCGGCACGTGGTGCCGCTCGGAGCACCCGCTCCAGAGCTGCCCCTGCGGCCCGGCCGGGTCGGGATTTGGCAGGCAGCTCTTCCCGCTGCTGTGTCCAGGCCCTTCCCTGGGACGACACAGTGACACGGGGGTGCCACAGAGCCCGTCCGAGGGGAGAGCCCCGGAGGGGCCGGGTGAGCCCGGCCAGCGCCGCTCGCGGGTGACCGTGGCTCCGAGACCGGGAGCAGGAGCAGAGCGGCTCCGGCACGGCGGGAAGGGGCATGGCAGCCGCCGTGGGGCCGCGCTGGGAGCCGCGGTGGCGGCGCTGCTGGTAGCCACAGTTGTGGCTGCGGTGGGAGCTGCAGTGGGAGCTGTACTGGTAGCCTTAGTGGTAGCCACAGAGGTAGGCACGGTGGTAGCTACACTGGTGGCCATGCTGCTAGGCTCGGTGGGAGCCGCAGTGGTAGCCGCATTGTAGTTGCGGTGGTGGCTGCGCTGGTAGCTGCAGTGGTAGCCGTGCTGCAGTCTTGGTGGTAGCTGCACTGTGGTTGCAGTGGTAGCCACGCTGGTAGCCGCAGTGGTAGCCACGTTGTAGTCTCGGTGGTAGCCACGCTGGTAGCCGCGGTGGTAGCCGCACTGTAGTCTTGGTGGTACCCACGCTGGTAGCCGCGGTGGTAGCCGCACTGTAGTCTCGGTGGTAGCC